GTTTTCAAGCCCTAGAATCAATTTACAATCCAGAATATCGAACAACATGGCGGTCCCAGAAAGCAGCGTGAACTTTACGGGCAGCAGCATGGAGTAGCTCGAGAACAGCACGTCCCAGCTCAACCCACTCTTTCAACAGTTCTCATGCGACAGGATCATCGTCGGCGCCTATGCGAATCTGGGCAAGCATCATCACAACAACAAACACCCGATCAACCATTCAGTGACGCAACAAAACAAGGTAATGCAAGGCAAGCGAAACCGCGAGGAAGAGGCGACGCCAGTGACAGAGACGCCAACGCATGACCTCGACAGAACTTTCCTCAGAACTGAACCCGATAACAACTTGCAAAAGCCACTATAATGTAGATGTGTCAAATATATTCAGTTTTTTAAATGAAGAGTTACCTGAGTACCAATAGAAGTAAAAAAATCCCCCTATCTATTTAACAGGAATTAGCAATCATACGGCAATTTATAAGGAAATCAAATATAAGTTACAGAAAACTTACCACTTTCAACTCAAGAACAATAAAATTAAAATACAATTCACCAGTATATCCGACTTCAGAGCTGCAGTTAAATACTTTTATCATTCTAATAAACAATTCCATACGTACTCAGATTCCAGGTAAAGAAATATTCAATTGTGATAAAGAACATTCATCCCACAATTCCGGAAAACGAAATTTTTGAAGACATCGCATCTCAATTTCCATCAGTTTACAAAAGGTCACGAGACTAAAAAGAACATGTCCCGATCCCAGTAGTCGCTGTAGAATTCAACGGAACCGAAAAAATCGAAAGTGTTTTGGAATTAAAATACATTTGCAACTCCGAGTAAAAGCCGGAAAGAAGAAAGAAAACTGTAGGTCCATTCAGTGCTACCGTTGCTAGACTTTGGACCACGTAGAAATAACTGTAACTAAAAGTTTCGTGTGTGTTCTGTGCAAAAAACCACCTTTCAGCAAACCTGTCCATCAAAGAAATCAACTCCTACTTGTAAGAATTGCATTGGGGAAGCACAGGGCTGACCTCAGGTCTACTGAATGTCCATATTATAGGAATAGTGGAAACAACAGCAAAAATGTAAATTCCAGTCCCAGATCCCGACAACCACGCACGCCACATCCAATCATGACTCAACGAACTTCCCGATTCTTGCTACAACTAACAATATTCCTAATTTCTCAAAGAATTAATAATCACTATCAACCAATGAATGCAAATAAGGGTTTATCCACAATATCACAATCAGCAAACAAACAATTTAACCAATACAACAATAACTCCTTCATTACAACATCACACAATTTATCACCAATCACATAGTAAACCTCATCAACTCGTTTATTCAACAATAATACAAAGTATTCAGAACTCCATCACCTCCACAATTAGTAACAGTTATGGAAGATTCACACCATAAAGCATTAATCATTCTCAATTGGGAATGCAAATGGCATCGCAAACAAAAAACGAATTAGAACATTTCTTACAGGCAAAAAAGATAGACATCGCATGCATCTCAGAGACGCATTTGAGCCCAAGCAAAACATTCCCATACCAGGATTCAAAATCATCAGAGCCGACAGAAACGAAAATTATGGAGTGGTGTTTTTAATTTTGATTAAGTTTAGTATTCAACACCACCAAATAACCTTGCCACTCACTCCAGGTATTCAAAACAATCGGGATAAATATAATATATAACAATAATCAACACTACCTGTAGTCGCGAACGTATAAACCACCCACATAAAATAAAAACTAGCCTTCTATCAATAAATTACTACAATTGACCAATCCTTTTCATCATAGTAGGAGATCTAATATTCAAAGCATTCTGCTTGGGGATGTCGGACCACAAACCCTGCCGGTGATTACTTAAACAGGATACAAAACACATGCAGCTTAAAATACTTACGCCCACAGAACCAACCCAATTTCCCATATGATCCAAATAAAAACCCAGATATTAAGATATAGCAATACAAACTTGAAAGACCCATTTTATCCACAGTTTCATCATGATTAGACTCAGACCATATCCCTGTTGTTTAAGCAACTGAATTAACAAAAATTCCATCCCCCTCCTCCCACGCTAAATACTTACAATATAAACTGGAATTATTTTAAAAACTCTGTTGAAAAATCAATACCACTTTTCAAATCCTCAATTGTCCCATTGAAATTAATCAAGCAATTACTAAATTAAATAATATAATAATCAAAACAATCAATGACTCTCAATATAAAACTAGACACCAGAAGGAAACTTCAAAGACCACTACCTCCAGTATTACTGAACTAATAAAAGTTAAAAATAAAACCAGAAGGCTTTGGAACACTCCTAAAAAGTCCAGAATTGAAAAAAGAATTAAACCACCTAACAAATTTCTGCAAAAAGGCAATAAGTAATACAACCATGAAAAATATAATCATTTTATTGAGGGACTAAATATTAAAAACATTCTCTTTGGCAATTCACAAAGAAAGTTCTAAGGAAAAGGAACAGCATTCCCCCACTGTCAACTGAAACTGGGAAAAAATACTGCCTATGGAGAAAGCCGAGTTCTAGCAGCCCATTTTGCTAGCACATTCACTCCTATGACTCTATAAAAAATTCCAAGCATGATGAATATTAACATTTTCAAACGCTCATTTATACAACATTCTCACAAATTTATTCATCTCTCCCTATGAAGTTAAACAAATAATCAAAAATGCCAATAAAAAATCCCCAGGTACGATCGAATTAATTCTATTATTCTCAAAGATTACCAAACATGCCATCGCATTTTTAATAATATATACAACTCCATACTAAGAATAGGTTATTATCCCCATCATGAAACACTCAATAATACCTCCAATAGAAACCAAATAAAAAATTCACGGTGCAGAAATTATAGACCAATCAGTCTTTTACCCATCATGTCCAAAATTTTAGAAAAATTAATTCTCACCAGACTAAACAAACATATAAATACTCAATTCCACCTCATCAATTGTTTTCATCCCAACACTCAACGACACACCAGCTATTGAGATTACCTGAGCACATCCACTCTGCTCTCAAAAGGGATAAATGCCCTGTGCTGAGAAGATCATTGGTAGACATAAATATCGTGCACTAACACTAAACACGCACTTACGTCAACTTAATACTGTTTAGTACTAGCACTGAAAACATTTTCCACCACTGTTCTGCGAAACGTTCGGAGCGATGTTGCTCGGTCGAGAGCGCAGAGCGAAGTGCAAAGGGGGTAACTTCCTGTTAGAGCACCAGATACAGGAGAGAGCGCTCGATGGCCGCTCTTAGACTTCAAAATGGTTTCATCGACATCAATATCGCTGCGATATCTTGAACATTGAATGTCATTAAAAGTAAAATGCATTTTCCTAACATATAAATTTTTGATTATCGGGGAGGGGGGTGCAACCGTGAAACCTAAGCACAAGCCACCAGTAAACAATATCTATACTGGCCGGCCAAATCTTAAGCGTGCAAAGACACAAAAATGCACATTTTCGTAATTATATACAAACCTTTGACAAAATCTTTTCGGACAAAATATTTACAGAAACTGATAATCAACGGGATGCTTTACTTTTCCTTTCTGAACAACATATATTTTTATACTGTGTCCGTTTAAAAACACATTTTCAGTATTTTTAAATTTTTTGGCCCCAAATATCTTAGTCAAAATCAGGCTTACGGAATATCGTAAAGAATTGAACTTTTTTTTTAAATGAAGATTTCCAAGGATAAAATTCCAACCTTTTCTTTTTTTGAGAAGATTTGGTATGAACATTTTTGAAATGTGCAATTTCTTGTTGTCAAATACACAAAAAGTTATAGATTTTTGAAAAACCATCATTTGAAGTTTCTGCGTTAACAAATATGAAAGAGTAAAAAACATCTGTAGTGTAAATTTTAAGGGCGTGAGAGACATTTCAAAATAATTATATTTGTATAACTTTTGATTAATCAAAAAAGTACATAAAAATGGTATGTACATCGTGTTATTCGATGCATTTAGTACTATCCGAGCAAAAAGTACAAAGAAAAAGTGTTGCTCTTTTGAGAAAGTGGTTTTATAAATTTTTATTATTGTCCTTATTTTCAATTATTTTATCAAAGAACAGTAGGAACTGTACGTGACGAATGAGGGAGAAGGCGCCTAGGTCGCAGCGTCAGCGGAACAGTCACGTACAAGATACGGGAGAGAAATACAATCTGTGAGCGTTTCCTTGAAATCCAGAGTCGCTTGCATACCTTTAACCAGAAATAGTTTAAAGGTGAATAAGTATTCCAGTAAAGCAAAGTTAAGAACATTTAGAAATAGACATTTGCTCCTGAGTTATAGAAAACTTGTTTGCATCGGTAAACGAACTACAGATTTTTTTTTGTATTGCTAAGAAAATACTGCGTGGCTCAAGGGGTGCGACCGGGGCGCGGCGGGGAAACGGAGGCGCGGGGTCACGGGTGTGGGACAGGGAGAGGCGGCTCAGGGCAACAACTGACGACACTGCAGTGCCTCTGACCGGGAGGTTCAGGAGTTCGAGTCCCGACGGTGGCAGGAGTTTCGACAGTAGCTTTTCTTCTAGGTCGAATTCAGTCGCTGTTCGCGAGGCGAATTCTAGCAGCTGCTTTGATCGGTAGTTTTCCGTGGCTTCTCCGATCCACGTGAATGCCGGAGCTGTACCCTACCAAACGAGCCACAGACCGCTCGCGATCTTTCTTTCCCATTCAGTGTCTCATCCTAGCCCCATACACACACTAACACGAATACGAACTACACTACCAGGAGGCCGGTCTTGAGCTTAGAGCCTTCATCTGGCTGGGGCGGGGTCTCGTTGGTGGGAGATACCTGGTTGAGGAAAAAGCCGCTAGCTGACAATAGGTCGGCGCCATTCAGCGGGGAAAAATCACCGCCACCACCCGCGAAAAGCATGCACTACACTTATGGGAATAATCATTGATGCTCCCGGAATCACTAGTAAATCAATCATGGGCGCGGGCGGGGCGCCAGAAAGAGCAGCCAAGGAGGGAGGGAGAGGTCGGCTGACGAGGAACAGGAAGCAAGGGAGCAAAGCGAGCTGTAAATGGAGGAGGCTGCGGAGTCGCGACCGGCGACGCGCGGGGCTTCCCGCTCGCGAGCACTGACCCTGCACGACCAGCCTCGCGGCCAAGGCGCGCGCGGGCGCGGAGGGGGGAGGGGGGCGGGCACGCCGGGGGGTATATGAGCAAAGGCGGCCGGCGCCGCCTCACCTGCAGCCATGGCCCCCCGCGACGGACGCGCGCTCCACGCGCTGCTCGCGAGCCTCTGCCTTCTGCTGGCGGCGGCGCCGGCCCGCGCTGCCGACCACGAACAGGTGAGCGTCGCCACATTCATTTGTCTGTTTAGAAACAATCATCAAAACTTTCAGTACAAAAACATCGTGCTGCGAAAGAAGAGATTTACAGCGACTACTCCACTCGTGAAATTAAAGCCAATCTTATTTAATTATTCATATAAAATGTCGTAATCAGGCGGTGGCACTGGTGTAACGTTTAGCGTATCGCACTGTTATACCCAAGTTGGCGGGTTCAAACCCGATCAAAGCCGTGGATTTTTAAGGGCAAAAAAATCCTTCGTACGCCTTCCTTCGGAGGGGAAGTAAAGCCGGCTGTCCCATGCAGTAGATTTACTTGCGTGTAAAAGCCAACCGTGTTTAACTATACATATAAAATTTCGTAATCGAGGCGGTGTACCTCAAAAAAGTATCCGATTTTTCCAGGTAAGTCGCACGTTACGCCACGGGCGCTCCACGTCTCGCCTTCAGAAGTCGGTTTAGTCTCCGTTCAGTTCAGTCACTTTTTTCCTTTTATACTTGTTTTTTTTTTTTCTTTTATAAATTTTCAAAATTTCAAACACGAGCGGGACTCGCATTTAGAAGTCGGTTGAGTTACAGGGCAGTTCACTTTCATTTTTACTTTCTCGCTACCGCTTACACAGTCGAGACTAAGTTGTAATGCTGGGCGAAAAGAACGGCGAGTTTTCGGCGTAAAAATTCTTATTACTGGGTCCAGGTAACGAAAATGTTGATAAATACAGTTGCTACATTTAGGGGCTCTGACACGTGGTGTAGCCAGAATCCGTGTTTTGTGGGTCCTTGAAAGGGGAAAAGCGAATGACGACAAAGCGTCTGTCTGTCCGTCTGTAAACAACGCTAGCGGCTAAGCCGTTCAGCCGATTTTCTCAGCTGCCAACGATCGCCGCCCTAAATACTTTTTTTTCTTTTTTTCTCAATATTTTGATTTCCTAACGGTAGATTCGAAATATTAATTTTTAAAATACTAAATAAGGGTAAAGTCTCGTTTTATATGGAAATTTTCGTTGAAAAATGTGGAGCCGTTTTTGAGATAAAAAGTGTTTAAGCTCTAGTGCAAATGAGAAATTGGAAGCTCTTTTTCACAGGAATCTTTTGTTTTCAAAAAACCTCATTTTGAGATCAGCGTTCTTTTCCCTCTCCGGGAAAAATAATTTAAAATTTGCATTTTTTTTAATGTTAAAGCTTTATAAACAGTACTTCCCCTCACTGCTCGCCCCACGTCCACGTCCTCCTTGAGCCGACTGTGACGAATAGGTGGGGCCCCACCTTCGCCTCCTCTTTACGACTTATCGGGCTGTGTGCAATTGCACAGGGTTTCCCTTACCTTCTATTTATAGTCAGTACATCACGGCGGAATGATTGTGTTCTCAGAAATGGATGTACAATATTTCCTCATTCACTTCTTGGAACGTTGACTTTTTGTTCGCAGATTTCGACGCAGTCGCAGCACCCCAGCAATGAGCCGCTAGTGATGCGATTGTCTCAGCACATGGGTATGTCTTGTCAGTGTAAAACAGTGAAGAAAGACGCAATGGATATTAACTCAAACTAGTGGAGCTACAACAGCACATACCTTCTCGTAATATTTCAAACCTTTGCAATATATTTTCTTCAAAAATTCTATCTTCAATATTGTAGTCGTATGAGGACACCGAACAAATTTTAAACTTTTGCAATTTTCAAAAAATGTCAACAAAATGATACCCGTACAATTTTTAAAGTGTTTTATACGCTATTGGAGAACAAAGATTGATTTAAAAAATTTTGAACCATTTTTGAGAAAGTTTCGAAAATGTTGAGGCTAAAAATGAAAATATCTGTTTCAATCTCAGAGAGCCTCGAGTTCCTTTAAGTCAATGGAAAAATATCAATTTTGGAGAAAATCGGCAAAACGTGCTAGCGTTGACCAGACAGACATGTTTTCCTGTCAATAGATTTTTCGGTATCAAGGACCCACATAACATAAATTCTTACTACACAACGTGTTAGAGGAAGTAATTTACAGCAAAACGAACGAGGTTTATGCACTTTTTCGTCAAACATGGCTCGGCAATAACAGTGTTTCTGTTGTTCGGTGCTCGATTACAATAATTTCTCTTCTTACGTCGTAAGCCAAGAAAGTATACGCCATAGCATCGTGACTGTGCTGTAACTGCTGAATGTTGTTTTTACAAATTCATAAGTGACATATTGTGATGCCAACATTAATTGTAAGGACTTGAAACTAATATATGTTTTCTCTTCTCGTGTAATTCAATAACATCTCTCCGGAGGAAGGTATAGAATGGAAACTGATGAGGGGTTTTCTTTACAATTAAGCAAGAAAATTTATCCTTTACGTTATTTAATTCGTTTGTAATTGAAGGAAATTGACATTATGTTATTATAAGAATGCAGTTACGTTTTACCTTTTCTACCTTTTTATGTTACGTGCAGTTATGAAATATAACTGTAAAATTCCTGGGAAGTTTAGAATTTATGTTAGAGAAATCAAACTAACTTTCCCTTAACAATAGTAATGGGTAGAGAAAACTTGAATGATGAAAAATGAATATTAAATTGTCTACATTCGAGGGATTTGAGAATTAAAAAATTTGAAAGTTTAGTTATACTATATAGTAGGTTATAGACGGTGTAACGGTTAACGTATCGGACTGTTATACTCAAGTTCGCGGGTTTAAACTTGATCGAAGCCGCGGATTTTAAGGCCTTCGTACGCCTTCCTTCGGAAGGAAAGTAAAGCCGGCTGTCCCATGTTAGTAGATTTACTGCATGTAAAAGATTCTCAAGCCTAAATAAACCTCTTAGCTACATTCAAATAGCCTGTTTCTCGCCCAAGAAATACCTTCTTTTTCTGCTAGTGGGTGAAAGGAGCGTACCGAAATTTGCATGGTGAGACGAAAGAGCGGGCCTGATGGCCTAAGTCTCGCCACGGTAAATAAGGCATCAATTAAATTCAATTCCTATGGTGGTATGAATATACTACAGCATTTTCGAAACCAGAATATCGAAATCATTTCCCTCCCCATGGATCCGCGCCTGCTCACACACACTCTTTTGTATGAATAGCAGGTAAACAATCGAATAATTTAGGGGGCGCCTTGATGGTCAGTTTTGCGAGATTGGATGCGAAGTCACTGCTGACATGTAAAACGATGTAGAATATACTCGCCAACTTTGAATTAGATTTTACCTTCAAATATAATGCAACTATTTGAATTAGAGTACATTTTAACAATCGACAATTAATGACTGCATTGTAAAAAGATTCAGATTCAATGAGGTGACTTTTTTAAATTTTTTTAATTTGTTTATTTAAGGTCGCATCAACTACTAGGTCATTAGCGACCACTATTGTTTGTAACGGTACGGTAAATGTGGGAATGGCACGAAAATGATGTTAGGGGGTGAAAGGGCGAACACAATACAATCATGTCCGAGGCGGGACTCGAACCCGCGATCCTTCGGTCCGAGATCTCTACGCCACTACTGCATTAGCGATCTCGATAACCGGATCGGAAATGAACTGACTTGTAAGGCGGACATTCGTACTTGTTCAAGTATTCACACACGTTTATATCACTATAACTGATTATATCCCGATTAACGATTTGTGTAACTTATGTCATTTAAACAAATGCAATAATTATTATTTGACAAATTCCTAGTTACATTATAAACATTAATGATTTGTCTTGTGCAGGCTCTGAACGTTCATCCAACCATCAACAAGAACAGGCAAGACATCATTGTACTGATTGTCAGTCTCCAAACACAGATCCATCAAGAAATGCTTTGACCTGCACAGCGCAATGCCCATTGTGTCCTGCCTGTCCACCAGCTCTAACTTGTCCTCCCCCATGTCCCACCATTCCTCCGTGTCCTGCGCCCTCAAAGTGCCCAGCCCCATGTGCGGCGTGTCCCACCTGTCCCACATGTAAGAAGCCAATTCCTCCAGGCTACGAACACTTCAAAGGACTGGGCTATTACCGTCTACACACAGTACCAGTAGACTGGATGACGGCCAAAATAACGTGTGAGCGAGAAGGTGCCTATCTCGCTATTATCAATTCACAGGTGAGGAAATAGTTCTGGGGTTGATTGGGTTGTCCAAAAAGCATTAAACTAAAGGTCTCTTCGATATATGAATGCATAGTCAGTTCTTTTTTCAGTGCACCTTTTCCACCTATGTAATTTTTGAAAAGCTGATAACTTTGAAACAAGGAAAATACCTATAAATAGTAATTAAACCACTATTTAATGTATAATTACACATGTTTAAAACATTTTCAGGAAGAAGCTAATTTAATGAAGACTTTATTTAACCGGGATCCTGACATTGGAAACTGGTTGTACTTAGGATTTCACGACCTTTACAAAGAAGGAAAATTTGTAACTCTGTTTGGTAAGAGAGACCTCACACTTTAAAACTAACTATAACTTAAATTTATGAATACTATATGTCTTTGGAAAGAATAATGACTTTAACTGTATTTATGCTAAAATGATCAAATAGTTTCAAAGTAGGCATTTAATTTAATGTAATGTTTCCTTGATTATTAAGTCATTAACAATTGATTATTTCCCCTCGAATGTTAGGCAGAGAAATTGTTCTTTATTAAAATATGTTTTGGTGTAAACGAAAATAAGACTTTGCATTCTCGCACTCTAGTTCCACACACTTCACCTACAGAATGTAATAATGAAAGATCGACATAATACTATCGATTCATCTCGAGTTCCAGCATTCTCCTTCACTTGTTATTCACTCCACCCACAATAAATAAATATCTATTGGAGGGGGCCCCTCAAAACAAGCATAAGGATCGTCCAGTTGGGAATAACACACAAGGAGTTCTAAAACTATATCTTTATGCTATCGGTACAACACAAAATGTGATATTTGTCCAGAATATTGTTCTTTAGTTGTAAATATCCAATAATCCAATATAAAATTTGCTAAAAATGTAATGCATAAAATGACATCTGGAAAAATAATAATACAGTTTAGAATCCAATGATATAATAGTTAATAATTATCAATTTAATACAAATAAGGTTGTTTTACAGGTGAACCTCTGTCAAAAACTGGTTACACCGTTTGGAATCCCGGCCAACCAGATAATCACCACAACAATGAAAATTGTGGTTCAATGTATCCTAGCGGTGGGATCAACGATTTGGATTGTTCATCCAAACAACCTTTTGTCTGTGAACTACCTGTCTAAATGGAAACATATCAAATGAATATTTTTGTGATGAAAACATGTTTGTATAGGACATAATAAAAGAATTGAAACATTTATATTTAAAAGTTAATATAAATGCATTTCTTATTTTACAGTTTTTGAGAAAGTGTGATATGCAAGCATTATTGTATTATAATGTGTGTGTGTGTCATACATTTATTAATATTTCGTGTGTATCATACATCTAATTAACAATTGATTTTAATGACGTGAAGCTCTTCTTGGGGTTTAGGACAATGATATAGTGAACTACGTGCAAAAATACATACGTATGAACATTACAATCTTAATGTATCTGTGAAACTAGAAGTACTTCAACATCAGATACTTTCTCGTATTATTGCTAACTGCTCCGCTGTATTAATCTACCACATAAACCAGCAAAAGTATTTTCAACCAGCAAACTTTTTTTTCCACTTCGAGACTCGATTTCAGGCCTCCCAGTTAATTTGCTGTCAGGCATGATACTACGGCACAAAAGCTCCATGCGGGTCGAGGTGACATAATTCTTCGTAATACAATGTAATCGCCAAGGCGGCTTTGAGCTGCTCTGAAGGCAATGATAGGCTTCTGAGTCGCTCAGAGTCGCCTTGTCGAACAAAACAATGATATTCTCAAGCATTTTTGTTTTTCGGGATAGTTCACCACGCGACACCAGCATGGATTCTGATCTAAAATTGGTTTACAGGGATACATAACAAATGCTTTCAAGAGAACCCTCATACACTGATGTGTCTCATACACCGATGTGAAATTAATCGAAGGTTGTCAAACAATTAACTATACTAGAATACTGCGAGCACATTTTGGCGTCATATGGTGTTTCTGTTTCTCAATGTTGAAGAACAAGAGTCCAGAAGAATAGGTTTTGTGTCATGCGGCATTGCGTGAGCAATGTCATTAGCTGTGTATAACTGCCCTGGATTGGAGGTCGTGCCCAAAGTGGCTTGTTCCCTTAGTGGACATTCTCTCGCTGTAGGCAAGGCTGCACACACCCCGCGCGAACAATTTGCGTCGTGAAAAGTGTGGAGCTTTCAATTCTTTTTTTTCAGCTACTTCCAGTGCGTGAAGGCAGCTATTTTTTCACAGCACATTTCTATGTTTGTCTATAGAAAAATATGAGGCCAGATTCCGATCTGCATCTGTTGAAAGGTTCCTTATAAGTTGTACTTGGCCTTTTGGACATAAATTCATTTTTAAAATTGAGGCACTCAGAATAATAACGGCAGATTCCAATCGAAATTCGTTTTGAGAAAAATGACTTTCTGTTTTCATTCACCTTCCTTTCCACCGGGCAAAGTTTTGAAGGTGGAATTTGAGGGTTTTGTCAAATTCTAATTCATTTGATATTTCAGCAAATGATAGGTGAATGTCAGGTGTTTACTGCCACACTTCTAACTGAAAATGCGAGGTCGGTTGGGATCTGCCATTATTATATGAGCACCTCAATTAATTTTTATCTTTCTAAAAGCAGTCTAAAATATTCATGGATATACTCTCCTTTTATGTACCATTAAACGTTTAAATCATTTTCATTAATTAGCACTTTCAATACTTGCCTAAGGTAAGGAACCTGTACTTTCCTCCTTGGACTCAAAATATTTTTTGGATATGCAGAACGCATTCCATGACTCGGGGACTCAAAACCTCGCTTTGCTTCCACTTTTTCACACAATTAAAATGATCCTACAGAATAGAACACTTTCTCGTACAAGATAATTTTGTAATTTCTTTGATCTGGACTAGCTTATCGATCTTGCTCCAACCTCTTGCCAGCTGCGATTTATCGATTCCAAATTCCAAAATTCAATTGCCACCTCGCAGGTAGTGACAGTGACCAACGTGGCAGCGGAAAACGCCTCCTCGCCTGATAATGTTTTTGTTTATCATAATATCATTTTAATGAAAAAACATGCACACTTCCAACACTAATATGAATATACATACACCCATTCTGCCATGCTGTATGTTATGCTGTGCCATATCGTACGATGGGTGCATACGATGTTTTTAAAAAGGTTTCAAAAATACAACAAATTGATATTACAAATACTCATTTATAACAAATTTTAAATTTTAAAGAGTTACTTATAAGGGAGAACTTATTTATATTTAATTTCTTTTCACCGTGTGCATTTGTTTTGCTTTAAAGTGAGGGCATTTTGTGGGGTTTACGCATGGGCGTGAGTAAAAATGAAAGACCAATTGTCCTGCTCACATAATATCAGCAGTTATAGTAATCCAATAACATGCGTCCGTCCGTCACACACGGCAAGGCCCCATATGGTCCGCCAGCAAAATGGCTCAGGTCATACACTGATATCACTGCCGCGGCATGCCGCGCCCCTGTCCGGGAGGTCCTACGATTCCAGTACCGACAGTGGCAGGATTTTCGATACTAACTAGATAGCTAAGATAAGTTAATACAGACGCTGTCTGGAGAATTCTGGCGGCCAGCTGCTCTGACCGGTAGTTTTTCGAGGTTTCCGATCAACACCAAGCGAATGCCGGAGCAGTACCCTAACAAACGGGCCACGGACCGCGCACGATATTTCCTATACCCCTCACATACACACACTTGCACTCACATGCTCTACACTATCACACACATCGGGAGACCAATCGGGAGCTTGACCCGGCTGGGGCAGTGCCACGTCGGTGGGAGATACCTGGAAATCCCCGCAAGCTTTCGTAGCTCGGCGCTGGACCTCGCCTTTCAGCGGGAGACGTTCACGGCAACCTCAATCGATAACAGCATTCACTACACTTACGGGACTAATGACCGTATCAGTTGACGCGCCCGGAATCACTAATTAATCAGTGAATCAAAAACTTTTTCTGGTCTATCAATAAAGACAAATGACGTGTCATTCGATGCGTCTGTCTTCTGGTGCGGATCTGATCATCTTTTGCATATCCATTTAGAACATTCCACAAAATTTCTCTAAAAACGTTTTGTTTTTTAATCAATGTTATCGCGTTTACGGTGCCTTAAGGCATCTACAGAGGTGATCAATAGTCGATACTTCTGGACAAGGCTAATCGATTAGCTGAATTCTTCGCTGGTTCTCTCCAGAATATTCGCGATGTCTAGAAACGCACGTGTTTTTGATGATTTTGTAGTCAACAGTATTGTGTAAGCCGCTTTTTATCTTAAAATTGTGTTAAACATAGTTTAGACATTTTTAAGCGGGGTAGATAAAAAGTAAGGAAGATATGAAAAGCCAGATCGATTGGAGAATATCAATTTTGGAGAAAATCTGCGAAACGGTTTAGCCGCTGGCATTGTTCACAGCCGGACAACAGGCGTTTTACCGTCAATCAATTTTTCGTTATCAAAGACCTACAAAATAGGGATTCTGGCTACATCACGTTCTAGAGGATATTGTTTCTAAACTTAGCATCTGGATTTATCCACTTTTTCGTTTCCAGGGCCCTGTAATAAGAGTTTTTTCTGCTCTTTTTCGCCCAGCATAACATTACTTTCTCTTCTTAAGATGCTCCTTTTTAAGCGCTAGACAGCTAAAATCATACACGCAACACTTTTTTTATATACGGAGTAATATTCATAGTATAAGGAACGTTATGTAATGCTGCGGAAAATCGATTTCAAAATTTCGATGGAATTTTGGAGTCGACTGATACCTAAAATGTGTTTTTTTTGTTGTTGTTTTTTAAACGTCCGTCTGTCCTGAACCATGCGTAGGATTGTTTCCAAAATTGAAGAAATCTGGCTCGCGTCAAATCTTTGATTTCTTTAGAAAAATACTATTTAAAATTTGGTAAACATTTTAATGCCGAGCTAGTCGTCAGTATTAACGTGGTATTATTGGACTGCTGTTGTAGCGTTACTTAGTCGTTGCGTACGTACACCAGAAACGACAGAATTTTGTTACAAAATAGGCAAGTCACTCTCACGAAAATTTTCCGCATTTCATGTTATCTTCTCCGCGGTCATATTTCATACTAGAACTGGAACCGACGAAGCAAGACTAATTTGACCTTCGTATATTTTTTTCTCTTGCATGGAAAAAAATTCGTTACACATATGACAGAATCTGCTACCAAGATTATATTTAATAGAAACTATGAAGAGAATTGAAATCTGTTTTCTAATTTATTGAAAAAACTCTTTTACAAAAGAAAGGAAACGCTTTTTCGAATTCATTTTAACACGAGTTGGCAGTGAGGAGAGGGGAAGAGGTCCCGAAGCTGTTCGAACCATATTTCGGGTGGTCCCTTGTTGGGCTCTTGACTACGTCGTGGAAGTGGCCTGAAACTCTGGACATAGAGAAGGGATTTGTTCCGACGCGCTGTTTCGACTCCGGCACTAGTCTGGATAGCAAGGAGCTCTAAGCTGACAGAGTGGCGCGACCCAGGTATCATATGGGCAGGTTACCGTGAGAGTAAACTGCGTTCTGGCGGGGCTCAGATACCAGCCCAAGGGCGAACGCCTTCTTCTGGTACGCCTGCAGGGGTGCGGATAGAGGCAAAGGCCTAGGTGCCCACCCCGGGGTGAATTCCCCCTGGTAAAGTACAAGGTGCAAGGTAGGCGCACTGCAGTCAATCTACTACTACACTATGAATAGACTGTAGGTTGCGCATGCGCCACGGCCAGGTCATCTGTAGTTGTCAAGAGAGGTTCAGCGGACCTCCGCTAGGTGTATACAACATCAGTATTAATGGTCATAATATGAAAGTGAATAGGCAGACATATGACAATTATAATAAACAGTTCTATGAACAGTGCAGAACATTTATGTGAAAAATATTTTTTTAGGCGATGGTTTAATTAAAATGTTAATAAAATCAAATATTTCAAGGCTGAGGAAGAATAAAGGCAAAATGTGTCAAACATGAAAGGAAATAACTAATGCCATCTGGAAAACGTTGTGATGACAGAACACATAGACTTTA